CAGTCATACAACAAAGACCACAATCGAGATTCAAAAAAGTTCCCGCAAATTTTTACTTATGCTCCTTGGCAGTACCCCAGACCCTCAGGTCCTGGAAGGAAACCACTGCTGTGGTTTTTGTTCTTACGTTGGTTCTCAGAGGTTTTCCGTTTGGCCTCTTTTATCTAGCCAGGGCCATTCAGATTTACATATCTTTCACTAGCATTCATTTTCCTTTTTTTAAAATTTCTGTATTGCTTTATTTACAGATGTAGTGGTTTTCAAACCAAGGGAACGTGAGAGTTATCCTCTTAATTTTTTCATAATGAAAAAATTTGTTTTAGTAAATGAAACCAGCCACATATCTTTGAGGTCATAATTCTATGGACCAAAAGGCAACAGCGTTAAAGAAAACTTGTAGTTTAAATCTGCAGAGTTCTAGCTTTGCTCAGTTAGTTGTATGATACCTGCTTTGGTTTGCTCGTTTTTTATGTGTGCTTGTTGGACTCTGTTTTTTTTTCTTTTCTTACTAGTATCTCTTTTTTGTATTTATTCTGGTAGAATATACCTCTACAATAATTCACTTCCTGAAACTTTTAAGCAATTATACCTTATCAATTCTAATATGTATGGATTGCTTCCAGTTGCTGTCTTGCCTGTTATTGGTTCTGTCTAGCTATTCCTTCCTCTCTTCTGCATTCTTTCAAATATGTCTTCTACTTAAGTAAAACATTTTCATGATTTAATCTTCTATTAATGTCCCCATTGTGTTTAAATTTGATAACTCTCTTTGTACATGTATATTACTTACTCATCAATTGCTTTCATTTTGCTTATGTATATCATTTCAGATTTTGTTGTGAACATCAGAAGTTATTGTCTAAGATTTGGAATTTATTTCTTAGATTGAGTTTAGCTTCTCTCAGAATTTTTAAGATGTAATTCAATATACTTCTTTGAGAAATTATTTCTTTAGTTACAAAACGGGAGGATTTCTGCATTTAAGTTTCCCAGATTCATCAGTACGAAGCTCTGGTTGGTCACATTTTGGCCTGCTAACCACAGGTCAGCATTTCAAACCCACCAGCAGCTCTGTGGGAGAAAGATGAGGCTTTCCGTTCCCATAGATTCACATTCTCAAAAACTCAAGCGGGGCAGTTTCCCTCTGCCCTGTGGTTGCTATGAATCAGCGTTGTCTTGATGGCAGCGAAAGAGAAATGAGATTCATCAATGCCACATGTGACCTCGATAGAGGGTTGGCAGCAGACCGTTGGCGCTACGTGCAGAATTTCGCTGTCCCATCCCTTTTACCGGTTCTCTTCTTCCATCTCCATGTTGTGTTGCCTGCAACTCAGTCCCTGATGCTCCACAGGCACCAGACCCTTCGCCGGCTGGAGATAAGAAAAACCCAAATGCAAATCCATTGCCATTGAGTTGATTCCAACTCCTAGGGACCCGATGCCGGGTTTCCAACACTGTACATCTTTACTGGAGCAGACAGCTTCAGCTTTCTCCTTTGAGTATTCGGTGGGTTTGAACCAGTGACCTGTGGTTACAGTACCACTGGGCTCCCACACCTTAATGAACCAGCTACCTTGCTCAACACTGGACAAATAGCAGTGCAGTTTAGGGTCCGGTGTTATTTTATGGGATCAGACTTTAGGCTAGGACTTCACCTGACTTGTATCCCTGCTTTGACTTTTTGTTTACCCTTGTCCTCCTAACTTTCCTTTATAGATTTCCCCCCAAAACAATTTCATAACAAATTGGTGACACCCAAATCCGCATGGTGTGCCTCTGGTCAAACTTCCCTTGGAATGGTTGGTGGCAAGGTGGCCAGAAGCAGGCAGTGAAAACCTTCAGTATTCCCAGTGATACCCACTGTGGTACAGTGGCGTGGTTGTGTTTGTTTCTGCTTTACACTGGGTTTGTGTGAGTGGACTTGTGAGAGTAACTGTCCCCTTCGTTCCGTGGCTACCCCCGGGTGCAGGCCTGCCTGCCTTTGCTTTCCTGTCTGCCCTTCTCGGAGGCCCGCTTCCTGGGCTACACTCCCTGGGTCTGCTGCTCCTTCCTTTGGAGATGGTGTGGTGCTGGGCAGCAGTTTGCTTCCTCGTCTTTCACACATGGGGGACTTTGAATTCACTGTCTCTAGCCTCTTATTCCGTTTCATCTGTACTCTTTGTAGCAAAGATGGCTAGAAATTTTGTTTATGGAGATGGTATTAATCAAACTTTTTAGCCCTTTCCTAGTTTTTCTCCCATTTGTTTAAGAAAAGTACTGGCTCTCACTGTGTAAGAAGAGTATTGGCTCTCATTGCTACTTTCCTAAAAAATTCTCCAAAAGATTTTTTTTATTCTTAGAGGAAAATTGAGGGGAAATATATAATTTAAAATAGACAATAATGCATAATAGGTGCTAAGGACTAAAGACATTACAAAATAGAAAATATTATTTATTTTTCCAGAAGAAAAATCGATGTGTTATTCACATTTATGACTTGGATTATTGTAAGCAAGTTTTAAAAAATCAACAAAATAATTTCTTGAAGACTCTTATTTAGAATGTCTTTGAAGATATTTTACTAATTTATAATAAAATTAGCTTGCAAAAGATGTTTGAGTAGCCCAAGTTTTAACCACCTGAGTTTTAGCAGTTTCTTTTTAAGGCAGGTATTCCCAGGTTTGAGAAATACCTAAATGATAGTTTCTAAATTCTAACATTTGTATAGGGCCCAACATGACCGTTATGAGGGAGGCAACAGGAATGATATGAATTCTAGAAATGCAACTCCTTATTCACTTAGAAATTAAGAGTTCTTTTTAATGTATCACAAGGAAAATATAGTTTTAGATGAATCATACTTATAGATATATAAGTATATGTGAAAAACAACAACGTCTTGTTTATCTGAAACCTCCCCTTCCAACAGTAAGAAATATAGCTACTGCCACCACTGTCCCCTGACGTAAGTGCTCAGTTCCAGCATCAGTCTTACAATTGTGAACCCACAGCCCCACAGGCACTTTCTCAGCGAGTGCAGTGCTGTGTGCAATACGATCTAGTCTCACGGACTCCACTGGTTTCCATTCGTACTCAGCCCAGCACCTACTTCTATGTCCTTTCTTTGTTTAATCAACTTTTAAGACATAGAGTCCAAGTATCGTACAACCCAGTGATTCAATTATATTTTTAAAGGGTTGTGCAGTGATCAACTCAATCCATTTGAATCTTTTCTTCACACTTGCTATCAGCTCCCCATTTCCTCCAACCACCGCTGGCTTAGCCCTTTGAATGAGCGTGTTTCACATTTGTAATACAGTTAAATTGTTTGGGTCACATTCTGTATTCTCTCCTGATGTCCTGCAACCTCTTAAATGATTTTTAAGACTCTGAATACAGTAAGATTCTCTGTGTTTTGATTTTTAAGTGAGAAACATTTTTTAATTTTTAAGCTTTTCTATCCTGAAATCTTCCTATATTACCAAATTTATTTGTTCCAAAGTTTGTTTTGATTTTAATTGGATCCATATGTTATCTAAATATACAGTCCCAGAATTTTCAGTTTTAAAAAAATCTTTGCCTGGCAGTATTTCTGATCCTTTTTTATGCTTCATATAAGCTCAATTGTATACCAATATTTAATATTGAATATCACTAGTAATAGTAGGAATTTTGTCATTATCCATACAAATGGGTTACTTTTACTATCTTCTTAGCCAGGTATAAGTTGGCTGTTTATTTAAGAAAGCTATTTGTTATTGGGTTTACATAGTAGTATTCTGTTCTCATTTAGAAAAATAATAATTTTAACTTGAGTGGGGTATTGAATTCTATCAACTAGTTATTTCCCAACAAGATGCTTTACTATGCTTAGGCATTTTTCTCAAGATTGTTTTAGTTTTATAATGTGAGCTTTTCATTTTTTCCTTGCTATAAAACATGCTGTGTAATATGAGTTGAACTTTGACCATTGAGCTTTGAAATATTTTTGGAGATAATGCTTTCTTAGCCCTTTCAATATATCTTAGAATTTTGGAATCATTCACATCTTATACCACTAAGTCAATAGTGAATTTGTATTTTTGAGTAAATGTATTGTGTAATAAAATATTAATTTATTTTCTAGCCATTCTTAGCATGATCAGGTTTGGGTTTTTCTGTACATTAATAACAGAAATTAGTAACTGATTGGAATTAGCTATATGTTCTGAATAAAATTTTGTATGTGTGAAATATCTATGTTTATCACGTTGTCTATCTAATTTCTCCAAGTAGATATTTTCTAGCTCTTTTAGGACATTTGGATTTCTCTCCGTTTTCAGCCAGGTTTCTTTCGTTTCTCTGCCTCCCATCTTTTATGTCGACCTGCGAAGGGCCTCTCTCTGTCTTCGTGAATCTTCTTAGAGCCGCGTGTGTTCTCCTACAGCGGTCTCTTTCTCTCTCAGTGAGGCTCAGGTACATCGTCAGCTTCTTGAGTTTTCAAGATTCACCGTATTCACTTTGGGAATCTTCATAGGCCTGGGGTCGTGACTGATGGGA